CTCTCTGCCCCTCCCCTGCTCATGTGCTCTCTCTCAAAAATAAAAAAATAAAACATGTAAAAGAATAAAGAATGACCTGATTCCCACGTTATAAGATCCTGTTGTGTGGAGACAAGGACTAAGTAAATGAATTCTGCTATTACTGATTCACTTTACAGATAGTAAATCCCCCCATTCAAAAAAATGGGGAACCATTATAAAGCTATCAACGCTTCATCTCACCAAGATTGAAAAAAAAAGTTTAAATTTTTTTTAAATGTTTACAAAAAAAAAAAAAAAGGAGGCTTTAAGAAAAGGGAATGCATAAGCAGATAAAAAGATCCACACTATAGGCCACTGAGGAGTGAGATCAGCTAGTTCCTAGGGGTGAAATACCTCGTGCTCTCTCTCTCTTTCTCTCTCACTCTCTCTCCCCCTTTTCATGTGTATACACACACACACACACACACACGCACATACACACACACCCCTGCATGCAGCTGAACATTTCTTTTTGCGATGGTGATATTACTAGAATTAAACAACTGCTATTAAAATATGCTGGCTTTCTGAATCAGGTAGTGCCGAAAGAATATTCCTGACAGTGTAATCCTTTGATAAATGTTAGCTTAATTTACAATGTGCTTCCAACAAGTAAGGCATTTTAAAGTAAGCATTTACTTTAGGATAAAATTTGCCTTAACCTACGCATCCTCACCATATTTAAATACTTAAAGATATCACCTGGATTTTAAAATTAATTCTTTAGCATGTGACAATCTACTGCATGCTCAACACTATAAATGAGGTGCTGAGAAGAATTTAAGACAATGTGCTCTTCAGGAGCTCAGAATTTAGTGACAAAAATCTAGCAGAGGTAAAGAACAATAATCAAGAGTAAAACTTAGACACTAACTGGAATGATCCGGACGCTGAGGAGGAAAGAGATCATGGTGGGCCCAGTCCCAGAACCCACCATCTTGTCTGGCTTCAGCTACCTGACTAGGTCTGAAATCTACTACGAGCCCTGTCCTATCTTCCCAGCACAACTGGGTTTTGGAGCCAACAAGTCCTTGACATCCCGGATGGCTCAACAATTACTCAAACTTACCGTGTCCCAAACCGAACTCCCCCACCCCTGGGCCTGTTTCTCCGCGTGTCTCCTCATCTCAGCAAAAGCGTCTCTTCCCACTAACTGGTTCAAGCCAGCTGTCTGGAAATCATCCTTGATCTCCACTTTTCCTCAACCGAGTCCAGCGGGTCATACCTGTAAAACCTCTTGAAAATCTCTCCCCTGCTCTCTATGCCCACCGTTACCACCTTAGACACTCATGCCAACACCACCTTTTGCCAGGATTATTGCAATAATCTAAACTAGGGGGTGGTAAACTACAGCCCCACTGTTTGCTTTTATATATAAAGTTTTATTGATTGGGGGCGCCTGGGTGGCTCAGTCGGTTAAGCGTCCGAC